TTACGATTTGAAAGTGACAGTGGCGAATGAAAGTAACATTAAAACTTTTTATTTCTTTACCCCTTTTCCTGTATAAGTGTTTTGGTGTGAAATGGAAAAACTGCATCGAAGAAAGATGCTGTACATCTACTTATCTGACATTTGAGACATTTGCGAGAGAGAGAGAGAGAGAGAGAGAGAGAAAGAGAAAGATAGCGAGAGTGCGCGCTAATCGTTCTGTTCCTGTGTGAAGTCAAATAAACGAGATTTGCGGTTTGTTTGGTGAAAAGTTGAAACCGATACTATAAAGCACGAGATGCAAACGGATCTGATTCGCCAATTTCTGTAATTTACCCAAAAGCTGTCATAAATCTTCCGCAATATATCCCATTGAATTAGGTTTTAAAACCTTCTCAAATGCCCCCAATAAACATTATTCGAATTAAATTGATGTCTTTTTTATCCTAGGTGGAAACAACGCTGCTTTATCGATTTGTTATTTGAACCTAATCATTTAGGTAGAGCCTCCAAACATCAACAACAACAATAACTGAGTATCAATGTTACTCAAATTATCGCACACTTTGATGTAATTATTATTGTAATTAGATTTCTCATTGTTACAATGTAAATTGATTGGATGAGACCATTGAGAGTGGATTTATCCAGAATACTTGAGAATGAATGCTCACAATTGTTAGCAAAGTGATTCACATTGGAGTGTGCGTGGCATGTTGAGTGAAGTGATTTGGCAACAAATATTCTCCAAATTTTATCGCACAACACTACAAAACCCACGCTCTTGTTTGATGAAATTCAACTTGAAAGACACAATCAGTGATTCAATTGGATTTTGAATGGTTAACGGTCTAATGAAATATACAATTAATAACAATTGAGCTTATATATTTCATGAATTTTCTGGGCAAAGCGTGAACTTTAGTTGACATCGTGTTGATGATATGCCGGTGACAGTGATGGAATTAGTGAAATTCGATATTATATTGTAGCCACATCGAGAGAAAAGCACCTGAATTCAAGGGAAATTGTGTAAGAGTGCTCAAATACATTCAAGCGAATGATGTTCTCCACTAAGCGACTAACTTTCTCTCGAAACTCTCTTGATTTGTGTGAGTGTGTGTGTGTGTGTGTGTGTGTGTATTTAAGTGAATTCAAGTTTTTGATTTTCAACTATTCAAGCTAGTTCCTTCTCCTCTGCTTATCGTACTCTCGGAGAATGCCAAATCACAATGCCGACACTGATTGGATTGACATAACTCGCACATATGTAGTTTATATAAATCGCATTTCATGTCACTTTCAATGGATTTGGTTTAAGTCGGCAAAATTAAATGCCACTAAAACTTTGATCGAAATGAGAAAAAGATGCAATAAAAATGGAGTCATGAATGCAATAAACACCTACTTCACCATCACCATACCATACACAAGTACATTCTTTTCTCTGAAAAGAAAAAAAAATTCGGTTTTAAGCATATCAGTGTTGTGTGTTCACTTGCAACCACAATGGCGTGTCATTTGTGTGTGTGTTTGTGTGTTGAAGCATGCCTGCTGTGAATCGAAAGGAATTTTAATTTAGCATCGGAACGACAAAAGGATGCGATTATCATGGTAAAGGTAAAGTCAAACTACACCCATAGACATTATTCATGAATTTTGACGTTCAATCCAATCAAAGACACACACACACACGACAGATGATTCGGTATAGTTGGCATAAGTCTACCTCATCTATTCTTTCTTTCTTATTATTCTTGTTTAACTTTGAACATTTGCCATTCACCTCCGTGTCACCTATGCATTGTCGATGCGTCAACTACTTCATATACACACACCGTTCGCCGCTCGAGTCGCCTATTTTTCATTTCGTGTCACAACTTGTAATAATGGCATGTTCTCAAATATATACGTATTTGTGTTTGTATGATGGTTCATTTTAAATTCAAATACAACCGTTCACTTGGAAAATGACTCGAAATCGATTTATGTGCTTTGCATTTTAGTGCGGGAGTGTGTGTATGTATGTATGCGCGAGTAGTTCGTGAAGTATGTCGTTGATTTCTTTTATTCATGTCCGCATAAGATTGCTGTAAATGCTTTATGCTCAATTTATGAGTGTATTTTTCGCAATTTTTTTCGCTTCGAGACGGTGGATGCTTGATCCATTTGACAATGTTCACATTTGTTTGTTTGTCACAAAACAGCTTTTTCATTTATGCCATATTCGGTTGGTGTTCGATCTATTTGAAAATCGTTATTGACTATTGTCGGTTATTTTTCTTCTTCTTCACGATAATAATTTTAATGTTGATCAATTTACATTCGGTTCATGTTTGCAATGCTAAAGACCACCAAATAGCAAAACAACCTATATTCCAATATGTTTGCATTAAAATTTTCTCGCTTACATTCTTCCAGTGTGCAGTATTGTGAAATTTGCGGCTAAAAGAAGTTATACGAGTATCCTATTGCCACTTATGTTCAACCAACAGATGTAAATTTGAAGCCTTAACATAACGGAAGAACCGACATCACATTTTATAGCCATATCAAGTATAACACATTCACAACACATGTTGCCGATTTTCTTCACTATAAATCCCAGATTTTTTTCCCTCTTTGTGGCAATAATCAAAACGTATTTTCCTGTTTCGGAAAATGGTTTCCCAATTTGAATTGGATCAATCCGAATGACATCACATGTTTATGTTCATTGCATGTTAAGCCAATCACTCGAGATCGAGCGAAAATGAAAGTGTGTGTGTGTGTGTGTGTGAAAGAGAGAGAGAGAGAGAGAGAGAGAAATGGGAGAGCAGATAAGAAGAAACAAGAGGCACAGGTAAATACAGACAAATCAACACCCAAATTGTAGTACAGAAAAATGTAATTTTTGAAGCAATAAAAATGGTCCTTTCCATGTTGGTCACAATATTTGCTACGAAAACAGGTGATAGGTAACACTGATTGAAAAATATAAAAATGGAAAAAAGGCCTATCATACATCTTAGGCGAAAGAATAACGAAATTCAATTTATAAATAAATTGAATTTATCGAATTTTGAATGAAACAATCAACATATTTTTTTGCTTGCAATTTTCAAACAAATTGAGTGATTAAATCGGTTCCGGAGTAATTAGATCTAATTGTTTTATTATTATTATAATATTTATCAGTTGCTTTACAAATGTGTCTCCTTAAGGATCAGAAAAATAATGTTTTTTAAAAATAAGATAATCAAAAACAAAAGAAAATATTACAGAGTGTCTTTGGATAGAAATCGAAAGTTATAGACCAAAATTCAAACGTAATAAATTATAATATACAGGGTGCGCCATAATAACTGTCCCTTTTATTTCTAGCCAAAAAACACAGAAATTTGAATCAAATCGAGATATAATTTTATTCGATATAAGAATGAGGTATAGAGATTATGATTCAGCCTTTGACTTTAATTCTTCCCCCCTTTTCTCGGATTAACAAACGCAAACGTTTCGAAAACGATTGACACGCGGCACGCACCATATCAATGGGAATTTCGTTCCAAATTTTTATTATTTTCTTTTTGAATGCATCCAAAGTGGTTCGTTTCGTAATTTTCAGATCATTGAGCTTCGACGACATGTATCCTCAAGCAAAAAAATCGAGCGGGTTCAAGTCAGGAGACGATGGCGGCCATGAGTCTCTGTCAATGAAATCAGGCAAATTCGTGCGTAGCCATTATTGTGTCGTATTTGCACGATGTGCGGGTGAACCATCTTGTTGAAATACCCATGGTTCACCTCTGAATAGTCTTTGAGACCGTGGCAATAAGTTTTTACGCAATATTTCTCGAATATATACTCTGGCATTGATTTTTACGCCTTCTTCGACGAAAACCAGTGGAAATTTGTGGTCGGCCGACATGGCGGCTCAAACCATCAATTGTGGAACATTTTGAAATCGTTCGATGGTTTTTTCATCTTCGGGAATATCAAGGATTGATGTTGCGTACACACGATCATTTTGCGAATTGAGGCTTGGCTGTAAAAGGAACAATTTTTCATCTGAAAAAACAATGTTTGAGTTTGCGTGCCGGCGCAACAACTCTTTGCATCTTTGCTTTCTGGCTTGTTTATTTTTGATTGTGAGACCATGTCGTCGACATTTTTTGAATGGATTCATATTCAGGTCTTCTGCCAAAACTCGTTGCATTGAAGTTTCACTGATTTTGTGCTCATGAGCCAACTTTCGTCCACTTCTTCGAGGTTCTCGGCGAATTTTCTCTCTCACTCGTTTGATGAGATTTTTGGTACGAACAGATCTTTTTCGTCCAGTTTTCTTTAATATATCAACGCTGCTCCGTTCTTTGTATCGTTTTATTGTGCGCTTTACAAATTTCAAGTTGATATTTTCATTTTGTAGCTGTCGAAAAATATCAATTTGTCTCAAGCCCCGTTTGTGCAAATTTAGTACCAGTTGACGTTTCACATCCATTCTTATCGCAAGCTATACAGACACTGTACATAAATGCGCAGTATCGTTAGAGTTAGAGTAAACACCAATAAACATAAGGGTAAACGACATAGTGAATCGCAAGACATTTGAGTATTAAAACAAACGATTGAAAAAAAGGGACAGTTATTATGACGCACCCTGTATAATAATAACAAGTACACCGAACTTTTCGTGGCCAATTCTTCGAAAAAAAAAAAAATTCTTTGTACATTTCGGAAAAAATGTTGTACAAAAAAGTACAGATGACGAGGTCGCGAAATTTTGAGTACTGAGCCAATAAATTCGATGGAATTATTTCATTTGATAATTTTTCAAATTTTACGATCCACATTTTTGTATCAGCAAAGACTATCAAACGATATTTTTCGTCTATATTTCACTGAATTTGATGTATTCTCCGGCAATATTCACAAAAAATAAAACCACAATTGTCATATAAATTATTCCAATTTATGATGTCTGTTATGAAATTGTTATGAAATTCTATTGAAATTATAAAACAAAGTTTGTTTATGATATTTAAGTCAACTTTATTTATTTGACGCGAATACAATTTATACATAGATATCGCATCAGATATTTCAGAATTGTTTACGACTTGCGTATTCAATCAAGAGAGTACAGTCATCACTTTATAAGTGCTCGCATGAATTGAAAACAATCATTAGATGTTTGACCGTCCTCTTGTTCTATGATAAAATGACGTAGTGCTGCTTCTTCACGGCTCACTTCGAATCTGCGAAGAAAATGTAAAAAATATGGATCATCATTGTCCATTTTAAATCAATAAATATGAATGTTCGTACGGTCCCATAATTTCTTCAATAGCATCTTCCCTATAATGAATATATTTTTTAAAATTTGTATCATCTATTTAGAAACTAGCATTCACAAGTTGTTCATACTCACACTCCATCGCGTTTTGTAGCAAGAAGGCAAACGCATTTAATGGGGTCTGTTTTGAATAAATCCCTTAACATCGATTTTGCGAGATTGTTATCCTCTCCTATTAGTCTGTCATTTTTTTCAAAATATTGATATAAATTCATCAATTGTGAGCTTTATTGATTAACGTGCTGTTGCGGACTTTATTAATTCTATTACCTCTTCCTATATGTGGCATAGATTTCTTTCGTAGCCTCTACTAAAGTTTCGTATGCTAGTACTTGATCTGGTTGTTTTTGAGGTTGCTGTTCTTTTCTGTTTATAACATTTTTATACCAAATTAAAGTTCGAAGTCAAAATGCATCAATTTTTCTTACTTTTTTTTATATATAGCACCACATAGGCTTTTGAATTCATTGCTCGCAGATCCAAGAGCTTTCAGAGACGGACGATTGAATATGGTTTTAGCAAAGGCATCCTTGGTTTTTCTATCTGAAGCAAAAGTCTTCAACCTTTGCGATAAATGATTTCATTAATAAATGGACTATTTGTAACATTTTTTTTTTTAAATATACACTCACTTGTTATGAAATTGATCAAAATATCTGAAAAATAATAATATCGTTTATAATTTGACTATGATAAATATGTGCGTTTGGTATCTACTAACTCTTTATTAGTGAATTTTGCTTTCATTATATCGTCATAGCTCAGTTTAACTTCAGGAGGTGGGGGGCGAGTTGAGAGTTTTGGAGCGGCACTGACATAAACGGCTACCTATAATTGTAAAAGTTATAAAATTCTATAGGTAATGAAATCGAAGAGTAAATTAAATAAATTTTAATTTACAATGGCTACAGCCAGCACAAAACTTATCGCGACACAATTCATTTTTCACTTGTTGTACCAACAACAGATCGGAATATTACTGATAATATTCATAACGAGAAGGTGTCTTATATCGCCTCAGGTGGTGTATTTTTCTACAGACAGGCTGGCCAAAAAATGAAGGTATGAGATAAAAAAACAAGTATAAGGTATGGAATTTATGCAAAATTTAAAATTCCAGTTAATAATTGATAAAGTTTAACCAAAATCAGTTATATCATTCAAAATTATAAGAAATTCTTCATTTATCTTCTTATTCATTATTCAAGGGACTAATAACGTGAGTCGTTGACAACATTTCTTAATCTGCCGGAATTTATATTAAATGGGAATTTATTTTTCTTACTAATTGTCATATGGATAAATTAGAAATAAATAAAATTGATGAATTCTATTTAGAATGAAAAATTTATACATTTGTTTAAACATTTCCTATTTTAAAATTCATTTCGTCTTTCGTCTTTTTTTTACAGAATATATGTTCAAAATTCAAAATAATAAATAATTTTCAAAATGTCTAAGAAACGTTTCAGTTGTATAGTACGTTGTGACTAATAACAACAGTGTCGTACAAGAAATGCTACCAAAGCCAGGTATATAGCGGAGAATGTATAAACCAATATACAGCAGCAAATATCTTTATTTTATTATCGAAGTCGTTGAATTTGAAATGAATATTCGTTGACTTCACTGTTATTCATTTATCTCTTATTCTCTACGAACGATTCAGCTATGTTGGACACATAATTTGCTTATGTAATATTTATCTTCTATGATTATGAGAGGCCAAGTATGACTTACGTGTTCTTTCACATTGTGTCAAATTTTTCAATCATTTTCACATTTTTTGTTTAAAAATCAATATTGCTATTACTGACACACTTAGAACTTACGCTATAGTTTCTCTGTGAAATGAATGATTTAAGAGTGTGAATTGAACAGGATGTTATAAACTGATGTAGTAAATAATATTTATTGAGAAAATATACAGGTGACATATAGTAAATATTGTCCTATCGATATTTTATAATATATTATGCATTGTTTTGTATTATTTTATACGAGTTTTTTTTTTGACAACAATGACAATGTGTTTACGATTTTCTCGAATAATCCAGTTCATTTAATTGACTCGTTGTTATCAGTCTTGAAAGTTTTGACTTCTGAATTGAATTTAAAAATGCGGCCATTAGCAATAGCACAAGAAGTGATGATGTGGTTTTGTATCATTCCGTCAGATAATTCTACCAGTGTTTGGAAGAAATCAATTCAAATTATCATAGTTTTCACCATCAACATATCCCTGATTATTACAATTGCTGGATCAATGGTCTTCATTTCGAAGAACGAAACTCATTTGGATAAAATCATTTTTGCATATTGCATCATGTTTATCGCTATCGGATTGTTATACTTTGCTTTGGTTGCATATCTTGTGCGATATGCAATTCATACAATTTTCAGAAGTTTGGCAGCAATTTATGATTCAAGTAAGACCCATGAGATAAATGTATATGTTGGTGAACAAAATCAAATAAAATAATTATCTTTTTCATCCAGCTGAAGATGAATATTCATCTCTAATCTTATTGAGGGCCAACATTAGGTGCGAATTATTGTGGATGTTTGTTCCTAAATGGATTATTCCAACAGTTCCTGCTGCAAGTATTTTCATTGGTGCGTCATCAGTTCTCCATAGCTTATATTCATACGGAGAAATCAACAGAGATCATTTACATGTACCAATAGATTTGGTGTAAGATCAGTTTTTTTTATTAACAAAACTAAATAGTAAATAAAATGTCTTACATACGTAAGATGAACTTTTCCGCACTGTGATCCACAAAATTCATTTATAACTTATCTTTTACTTGAATTTGAACTCACGAAAAACTGAATCTGACATTAGTTTTGCGATACACATAATTTTTGACACACTTTTTATATAAAAATTACTTAAAATGGGAATTTTGGAATGGAATCAATCCTTGCATGACGACGTGAAACTTGACACAGGGTATTTTTTCACAAAAAGCCAACATTCTGGAAGTTTGAAAATACAATTTAGGGGTACTTCCCATACAAAATTTTCGTTTTTGGGTGAAAAATCCAAAATTTTGTTCGGAAGGTACCCCTAATATGTATTGAAATGTCTTCAAACTCTCGGAATATTATTTTTGTGTGATAAAAATAACCTGCGCAAAGTTTCAGGTCATTACGATATCATACAGGCGTGGCTTCCATACAAAAATCCAATTTTTTTGAAATATTTGTATGAAAGGTGTGTCGAAATATATTTGTATCGCAAAACTAATGTCATATTCGGTTTTCTCGTACCCAAAAACCCCCCAATACATATTTTTGGATGTTTAAGAATACATTAAATATCACTTTTGGGGGGAAAATTGAATTTTTCCCATGGATGGCCATGGGCATCACACCAGACATGACACGTTACTCTATCAACCAAAGTCGCTCAAAATCTAATGGTTTCTATTCCTCGGCACCCCCAATCATCCTGTGAAGTCAGATTTTGAATTACTTTTCTTGTTTGAAAGTTATCGTGTTAACAAATTTTTGCGTACAGGGTACAGCGTACAGCGTACAGCGTACAGCGTACAGCGTACAGCGTACAGCGTACAGGGTACCACGCACATACATTCGGACATCGAAAAAACGCTAGATTCGTGTTCCCTGGGTCCTAAAACACCCAGAAAACATGATTTTTGAGGGTGTTAATTTTTCGACCGATTCCAATACTTTACCTTACACACTAGGTGTGTGCGGAAAAGTAATATTTTGATTCTTAGTTTACCGTGGGATCAAAGAAAAACGAACGTGGGATACTTTGGAGCCATATGTGTTACCACTCTATTTGCCTTATCTTACTCAATCATAAATAGTGTTATTCTTTTAATGTTTGTTTTTTTATGCTCTTACCATCGTGCATTTTATGAAATATTTCGACACTTATTGAATAAATTGGATCATTCCAACAAAAACGATACCAACCAAAAAGTACTTTGTAAAATTATTAAATTCCAAATTTTGGCCCGAGAGTAAGTATGGCACGAAAAGTAAATACATGTATAACGAAATATAATTCTTATGTAAATTTATTTCTAGTTGGTTTTCACATTCGTCCCAGGTTTACAGTTCTATCATTTTATTTCAACTAATGTTCAGTATGGTAACATTAGCTTTTTGCATCTTTGAATTGGATAAGGTGAGACTATTTATCCGTTTGATATGATTAATTGGAAATATACATGATTTAACATCATTTTCAGCAATTATCAATGTGTATTAATCTTGATTTGGTTCCTTTTTTAACGGGATTCGTGTGTACCATTTCGAATTTATTTATATTATGCTATTTTGGAAAATCAGCGTCCAACAATTATGAGAAAATGATCAATCGTCTTTTTGAAAGCTGTTGGATTGAATTACCGACTGATCTTAAAAGGCACTTTATCATTATGATCACAATGGCGCAAAAACCTCTGTTTTACCATGGATTCAAAATTGTAGTACTGAATTTGGAGAGTTTTACCAGCGTAAGTTCAATTACATTTTATGTTTCACAATCAATACGTTATTTTTATTTAATTATTTTCAGTTAATAAAGACCACATTCAGCGCTTACATGTATTTTAAAAGTGTAAACATGTACGAAAATTTATGAGATATTAACCTGAAAAAAGTATCCACTGTAAGCTAGACTGCAAGCACAATGAGTTCACTCTCAATGGCTGAAGAAAGGCAACATGGCGCTCTTCTTAATTATATTGTGTTGTTCGTTCGTCTCCATATATAAGAAGATATAAATGGAATCAAATTGTTTGCTTGTATGATTCAAACTTTAACATTTCATATTCAATATGACAAAACAAAAAGGAATCGAATATCAATATCTTTAATACTGTTATCGAAAAATAGTATCCATTTCGAAAACTATTAAAATTGAATAAATTGAGAACAAAATTACCTTTCATCAATCTCAAAGGAACGTAAATGCTTTACAATTCTTTACATGTTCTCAAAGGACGTGCAAAGAACGAATGAAATCAATGTCTTTTGTCGCATTTTGTGTATGTACTTTTTTTATTCTAACTTTTATTTATGACAATCAAATTGTATCATTGGTCTTTCCTTTGCGTTTGAATAAAATATTTAGACATTTTATTCTAAATTCAAGTGCATAACTTTACAGTAAAATGAATAATGTAATATGACTTTGTGCTCAATCTCATTTTTGAATAACCTGTGTATTTTTCATACATTGGAAATATAGTATAGTATACCAAATGGTATTCATACATACAACATGGTATCGAACAAAAGAAAAGATATCATCCGTGGCCGCTATCCACTCACTTCGTTTTCGTGCGTCGCCGCTATTCACTTGGCTGTTTACAAGCGACTTATGCATGCGACAATTACCGCATGTAATACCAATTGGTATGAATACCATTTGGTATACTATTCTATATTTCCAATGTATGGTATTTTTCAAAGTCTGGAAATGTTAATTTTTTCAAGCAACCATCGTGCATTTGTAAGTGGCGAACCTATGATACTATACATACTGAACGTTAACTAACTGCCAGTGTGGACCACGGACTTGTATTTACACTGACACAAAAGTATTTATTATTCGTAGGTGCGCCACTTATAAATGCCCAATGGTTGGTTGACAAAAAAGCAGAGCATTTACCTCTATTGGTATTTTTATTTATTGCAAAATGTGTTTGTTGACACAAAGTGTTCAACTTTAATGTAGTCTGATTGAATGTTATTTCAAAAAGAGTATTGTTCACTTCAAAAGCTATCGAATAATGAATATCGGAATATAAAAGACGGTGACCAGTCGAATTTTAAACAGTCGAATGAAATTCGGTTAACCATTGAATAGAGTGACTTTCAATTTATTTGTGCAATGAGTACGATTAATGTTCTTCAAACCAATCAACGATATATGACTTGGTTTGGAATTTATTCACATCAAGTAAACGAACCGACCAATGAGTTTTTCAAAAGGCCACTACCGTACTACCTGCAAACAGTAAATGCTCTTGCATTAATCGCCAGTTGGATGTATTTTATGAATAATCGATCATCCGATTTCAAAACTGCAATGGGAGGCATAAAAATAACATTCGCTCTTGTTCAGTGTGGCGGAGTTTATTTCAATCTAGGTTACAAAATGATAAACATGAAAGCAATGCATCTCAAATTACAGGAAACCGTCGATGCAGGTATTTACAATTAATTAATATAATCATGATGTAAAAACATCGCTTGCGTTAATATAGATTAAACAGAGATTGTTCCTTTGGGGAGGAGAAGCAGTGAGGAGGGTGTTTAGGTCCAAAAGCTGCTTTTATCATAAAAGTATCTCTTTTTTGGTTAAAAAACTTTTCCTTCTCAGCTCTCTTCTCCTCTTCATTTTCCACTTCAGAGGAGCAGTCCCTGATATTAATGGTATTTATCAATGCTAAAAGTTATTTAAATATTTCGGAATTGAAAGTTTCAAAATTTCCTTTGAATTTAGGCGTGGGCGAAGGATATCGAATTTATTGGGAGAACGAACAACGATGTCGCACATATACAAGAAATATATGCTCTTTCATTTTTTTCCATGTATCGGCATTTATGTTGGTTTTGATTCCGGTTATTTATCATATCTATAGAGGAGAATACGATACGACAAATTGGTAGAAAAGAAGCGACTTTTACACAAAGGTCTATTGAAAAACTAATCAAACTTATTTCATTTATTTTTTTAGGAATTTATTCTTTTATATGGTGGTTCCGTTTGATCAAACACACGTTCCTGGCTACTTACTTATGTGGCTATTTCAATTCAACACAGCTTTCTTTTACGTTTCTACTATGACAACATTAACTTCTTATTTTGCAAGTTGCTGCTTTTACATTGATGCCATGTGCAATTATTTTGGCTATCTAATTAGATCAATCAACGAAGATTTAAAACAAAACACAGATGAAAACCGACTTAAACTCAAAGTGTCCATAGACAAATTGAGTCAACTTATTAAATTCCACGTCGATATATTCGAGTGAGCAAAGATTTACCGAAATTACTTACATACAAATTTTTGACGATTTAAATTCAAATTTGTTCGTAGCACGTTTTATAGACTTGCGAATATCAATGGCGGTTCTATTCTGGCTTTGCTTCCCGTCAATTGTATTTTTATGGCCATCTCAATTTACGGTAACAATTATTTTGTATTATAATTATTTCGTGTTAATAATCAATTTTTACCTAATTTTGGTTTTTTTGTCCATCTCAATCGTCAACAACAAATAATTACGTTACATAAATAGATGTAGAACATGTATGTATGACTTTTTGAACTCGTTTCCATTGTATATATCTATTTTTATTTGCCTAATCTAACTACAGTATATCAAAAACTTCGAGCCTTCACATTTACTTTTTGATGTATCATGCATCGTTTGTTCGTTATCGTGGCCGTCGCTTATGTGTTATTTTGCGTCGTTGGCAACTGATAAAATTGCATCGCTTGGTGATGTTGCATATGGATCCGATTGGGATAAATATCCGCTATCAATACGGAAATATATTATATTGATCATTGCACGCTCGCAAGAACCCGTCTATTTCACTGGAATGAATTTGGTATTGTATTTTGAAGTGCAGAATAAATAAATACGAACTCAACTTATATTACATTCATAGGTTAATTGTACTTTGGAAGTGCTTGGAAGTAGGCATTCTGTATAATTTATATTATTTTGTAGTTTTTTTTAATGATGATCTTTTTTAGAGCTTTGCAAAACCGGTGGCTCGTGTTATTTGATGTTTAGAACGTTGGAACAGCGGCGGTAAATGAAAAATAATTTGGTGAGCTTTACGAATGTTTTGCAACTAATCGAATTTGACAACAGAGAAGAGAGCAAACAATGGATTTAAATATGAGTGAAATTGAACATACAGTTACGAATGTAAATGAATTGACGAAAAAATGTTATTCTCTAAAAAGTAAATAGAAACAGCTAGAAAAAGACTAACAGAAGAAAATAAATATTGATCGATTGGATTATTTCGAATTTTTCTCTGTTGAATTAATAATTAAGTTTTCAAATCCCAAGGCTTATTAAAAATTATTCTGGATTGATAAAACAACATGGCGCTATTTTCGAGAAATCACTTATTTTCGTTTTTTCTGTATTTTGAGTTGTGGTTTTTTTTATCAATGGAAAGTCGAGCTCATTTAATTTGATAATATTCATATGAAGCATGAGTTGTTGTTTGACATTTACCAATGTGTAATTCGATTTTTTGACATATTTGTAATTTTTGTATAAATAATAGTGAAAACGATTGAAGCAACTAACTAAATAGATAGTGTGTAACAAAATATAAAATTATTGTAGTCTATTTTTCTCTATTTCATTCACGACTCGCAAAGGAGATTGAACTGAATTCTCTATAGTATATAAAATACATATATTAAAATACCGTGTGAAATTGTCGAGAGAAAGCGATAGGCGAAGGAATGGAAAATTGCTGCATTCTGGTTTGTTTATGCATGTATCATATGAGCGACAATAAATATACACACTTGGCGACCTTTGTTATTATCCATGATCTCGATTGACGACAAGTGAAGCAATATTAATCCCGATTCTTGGTAAGCTTTATTGCTTTGCATTCGAATCGATAAACAACATTTCAAAGCTTAGGCAGCTGCAAATGCATGGAAACTGATGAACTGGCGGAATCGCATTTTCAATGGAACATACTTACTCTCTATTGGTATCGAGTGGAATATTGTCTTTTTTTTGCCATTCAATTCAATAAACATTGACAAGATTCTTTGGAGTTCAGCAAAGAACCGTACACACAATGTACATGCGGCAGAAGAAAGTGAACACAATAAGACGAAGCTGATTTGATATAACAGTGTATGTTATTTCCTAGCCGATAAGCGATTCATCCGATACGCCAGAGAGTCTGTGTGTGCATTTCCATTACATTACTTCCGATAAATTATGTTGTAGTTGATGCATAAATTTTGCACGCTCGATGAATGCTGTTTATGTATTCTATCGAAAAGCGCGCTATAGCTGCACAGAAATACACAGCAAATAATGAGCACCAATGCAGCTTGAATGTATTTTCATGTGGCATCCAACGATGCACATAAGTAGTTCAGTTTACCGGCTGCATTCATCTATAAATTTTCAAGTTCTGACAAGAACGCCTTACCTATCGTGCATTGTGCGCCACGTTCATTTTCAATACTTGAAAGACGAAAACGCTAAATTTTTCCGAATATAATCGAATTTTGTGCATGTTACCTCAATCTGTCGATCACATGGCTTTTCATTATTCGAGCCAAGTGTGCGCCAGCTTTTGGCTTTCAAGATTAAATTTTTATTTCTTCTTTTTTTTTCTGTTCATTCATTGTGTGGTATTTACAACATTGCTCCTTCACTTGCACACGATAAGAAGATTAATCGAGTACTTGAACGAATTTATTTGTTTTGCTCTCTGATGTTTTTCGTCTTCTTGTTCGTTTCATTGACGAAGAAAACGACGAAAAAAAACATTTTTGGATTCAACAATGAAACAAAACCATATGAGCTGCACACATTTTAGACGAAAATATACGACGCACATCGAAGAACCAGACGAAATATCTGACATGGGACTAAAAGCTTAACATTTAGAGGGAAAAAACTTTGAAAAGCGTTATGAATGAAACAAATGCGATAATCCAATGAATTATGGTGAAATAATAAAAGAATATGCGATCATAAAACTCATAACCGCTGCGAGTGCTTGGTAACAAATTTTTCGGCGATTTCAAATCGTTTTTCAAGCGCAAATTCCGATAAAGAAAAACGTCAAATGGTGCGACGGCGAACAGAGAACGGGAAAATTGATATTGAACTGTTGGATAAATGGAAAGTAATCACTTTGGTCAATTTAAACGATTTTTTTTGTTTTCGGAATATTGGCTAACTGACTGGCGGGCTGGCTGAGAACTTCGTTAAGTTGCCCATTAAAAGCCAACGAAGTGTAAAAAGCTTCATCGAAAAAACACTCCCAAATCCATCGCTTTGTGAAAATGAAAATTATTCACACGTACAACGAGAGCGCTCTTTTTTTTCTCTTTGCAAGAAAGAGAGAAGAGTACCTTATGTCGCGACACAAATGCGAATAACAGACTGATACTCCGGCACACCAACTTCTTATAGAATACGTGCCTTTTGTGAGCGCACCCGTCGTACGTGGTGCGTAAAAACGTCAAAACACTTATGAGCTTCGCTTTTTGCTGCAATATAAAATGCTCAACGGCCAAAGATCACATCGATAACAAGTTTTAACACTAAACGATGCTCTCACGCTTTACGTTAACTTTACAATAAAACGCGACCGATAAAAATTTCTTGAAAAGTGGACTTTTTTGACACGTCGTGTTTTTCGTTTGCTTTGCTGTTGTGTGCAAAATTCTGCACATGAGATTTATGGCTGTATTTAACCGACATTTCATCAATTCGTTAAAAATGGTTTTTGAAGAAACGATGTTGTGCAGAAACTTAAAAAAAAACTTAAATCACTAATCACATACACACAACATGTCACACACAGATGAGTCGCTGCTGATGCCAGTCTTCCGTTTTCCAATGGATTATTGCGTTCTATCAAAATCGGTTCGCCCTCTCTTTTTTTCCTGTCTCGTTGACTCTTTGAATGTGTATCAACTACAAATTGCCACTCAAAATTCTCGACATTTCGATAGCAGTGCATGAAAGAATAAAAAATTGACTGTTATCAGCACTAATAAACGATTCTGCATTTAGTTTTGCTATGCAAACCACTTAAAAGCTACATCAATATATAATGAAGCAATCAATCACATCCAAACCATTTTCGTTTGCATTTCGTGTGTATGTCAATTAACGAACTGAGTTTGACGCACGCCATTTTGGAAGGCGAAACAAAAAACGATGATAATTTATCTCGACAGTTTTGATGCATGACATTCGTATCCAATTCGAAATGACGACTGCCATGCGGAACAACTGCAAATTAAATGGCGAATATGCTCGAAACAATCAAATCAATTGATTGACAAACACGGAAGCTTTGTGGAAATACTTATTTCGCACATTTTGAAGCAATAAAAAAATTTGAGCAACTTACATTCATCACACCATATTTTTACTTTTCTTCTACACACACATCTACTTCGAAACTTGTGTATTGTGATCATTTTTTTTCGACCAATGTTTAATTAACCTCATTTTCATCTTACGCTTTTGACTATTCATGGTGACTTATCAAAAGCTTTTGTTTGCTCACATTTCTCACAGAATTTGTCCTTCCATTTATTAAAAAATTGAATGAATGTACAACAAAAGCGTATACAATACTAGACACACGCAAACAATTTAAAAAAACAATTTTTTCTGTTGTTAAATCGACTTCATTCAAAAGTACATTGAACGCAACTGATCAAACTGATATGTGTGCTTCTGTGCAAATTGTAGTTTATGTTTTCGATATTAAATGTTTTATGAGCATTTCAGCATATATTTTATAATAAGACCCTGTTTGACAATGAAAACTTTCGATGAAAGCACCAGCAAGAGTGAAATATGTTTTGTTGATTATCTGCTTGTTCTCTCTCTCTCGCTTTCTCTTCTTAAAATTTTAAATTGGTAAAGTTTTTTTCTTCAAATATGTGTACGTTTTTGGAAAAAGTTTGTGAGCCGATTGTTTGCGCGTGGTAACAGGTGAAACGTATACGCATGTATAACAATGTCATTATTGTTCCACAAGAGTTTGATATCGAAAAATAAATATCGGCACAAAGAGAAGAATTTAATTTGCAACAACGACATTATCATCATCATCTATGTGCTTTGTATACCATTTGTTTGGTTCGAAACAAATCTAAATTATTTGTCCAGACTATTTGGGAATAAAAGTTTTGAATATTTGCCATATTCAAAGTTGACACAGTTTGTTTTGTTTTTCTAATTAGAAAAGAACGTATTCGTGTATGGTATGTACGCGGCCAAATAACAATAATAATAATAAGTTTGGCAACAATTTAATTACATGTATATTGTGTACATATGCATATTTCTTTGAATCGAATTGTAAAATTTCCAATTAATTTTGTTATTGCAGACAGAATATTTTCATGTTATCTAACCATTTATTTGTTGTACTCAATCAGTATTAATGAAGGAATGTTGGTGTTTTCATTCTAATTCGAAGATTAATGCGTATTTCCTCTCTTCATTGTTTGTGTAACTGTGGAAACATCATTTAAATTCGACAAAGTAACAAACAAACTGAGCTGGCGTTAAATTTGCAAACACAAATTACATTTACATTATTTTATGGGCAAATGAACTTCAAAGTGCGTATACGAATTGTCTATTTAATAATGAATTATTCGCGAATATTTGTGACAATAAGTGGAAATGTAAAGCTGTTTTGTCGAGAACAATGCACAAATATTTTATTGTTTGTTTGTTGTTAATTAGAGACCGCAATCTTATGTAAATTCCCGTCAAAACTTTGGCGATTGCTATAAAAGATGGATTCAAGCTATTGATTTTCATTAGTAAGCATTTAACAATTTCTTGTGAAGTTTCGGCGAACAAAGTTTTGTGTGTGTGAGAAAATTTTCAAAATGAAATTGTTTATCGTGTGTTTTTTAACAGCTTTAATGGCTTATGCCAGTGCAGCACCAACTCCTGATGGTCCAGTGAGCAACGGCATTGGATCAATATTTAGTTTGATGGGCAACCTTCCATTCATGGGAATGATTCCAGGCATGAAACAAGGCATGAAAATGACTGAAGATATGTCTAAACAATTTGCGGCTCCGGTGGATGGTTTGATGAATATGATACCTGGCGTAAACCAAATTTCGAATATGGGCAGAAGTATGACCAACGG